GTCATTGGCTGTTCAACATTCGGATAAAGGAACATGATGCATGGATTAAACTTGTCAGTTGCGTGTTGCTGTAATAAAAACAGCCATTGGTTTCTTTTTATGTTGAATGAAGGCATGTCAGTGTTGCTCTTTGCATTAGTTTTTAATGATTAACATATCGGTTTTGTATGTGCTACGTTTATTCCATCAGGTACCTGTGGATAAAGACAGTTGGCAGTGAATCAGCAGTTGGCAATTCCTGACAGTTTCCTCGTGAACGTAATGCATGGTCCTGTAAGCATGACCTTGCTGAATGCAAGTACTACAGCTCTATGCTTAACTAGAAGGAACAATATCAGTCAACCAAAGAAATAAGCATTGACATGTTATTTCGCTATCTGGAAAGTTTCATTTCCCACTTGATTAATGCTAATAACGATGTCGCTCTACTGCCAGTACTAACGTTGAGATTTGTCAGTGCCTTACAACATGAAAAAAGTTTCTTAATGTGTGCGTAAAAACCAAGTGATTTACTTTGTTTTCGAATCTCATATTTCTGAATTGCGTTTTTGTGTACTTTAGGCTTCTTGTTTCTATCCAAATGATCGAGGCACATTGATAACACCAGTAATTTGCATGACAACTGACAAACCGAGACAATGGTTTGGAGTATTGGAAGTTTGATTTATTGTGAAATATATTGAATGTAAATTATGCTTTTTCCATGTTTCCACAAAAGAAACAGGTGAATAAATACTGGAGACGCTGTCGTATTCAGATCAAAATCACACACATTTTCTTATGGACGGTAACAGAATAGGCGTTTGTTCCTGCATTTCCTCCTCTAATTGTTACCGTTATGCTTCTGGGGTATTAATATAAACACAGATGGCGTTTTTCTTTCAATCAGAGAGAGAGATAGAGAGAGAGATAGAGAGAGAGAGAGAGAGAGCATATAATATATTCCCGTTATTGTGTCTTGTTATTAAATATGATCAACATTATGCCTTTTGAACTATTGAAGATCAGAGTCACTGCCTTCGTTCTTTTTCTCCGCACGTAGAGGAATGACAGGTGAGAAAACGTACTGATAATTTGGCGGCACATTACATTTTGTATGATTTGATGTGATAAGAATGTGTACCCAAAGGAAAAATGCAAAAATTGAAAAAAGCCATTGCCACGAATTTTAGGTGAAGGTGATTTTCATTTATGTTACTGAAGGTGGACCGTCTTAGCTGAAATATTGAAATTGGTAAGAACCAGATAAGTTCTTATAATGGAGCATATAGAAACTGAGCATGTTTACGCGAATTAGGTGTTGCATTTTCACCTTGAAAAACGTCGGTGTTAAGTTGTAAAGTTCTTTTCCATGCTACACCATGATACCATGATACTGTGCTCTTTGATAGTATTCATCCGTGTGTGCCTCCACACGTAGCGTGGAGGATAGATTCTAATTGTCCACTTTCCCTTTATGTTGAAAATTATTCCAGCTGCTCCAGCCTTTGATGTCTACATTTCAAAAGATTTTAGGTACAACCGAGCATGCTCTTTCTACGATGATTTAAAAGAAAGGTCATACAACACTTGCTCAAACGTTGTTAGTTCAGGGTTACAATTATTCAAAGCCTCAGTCAGGTTTTCAAAATATTTGGGAAGAGCTATTTTGGCTTGTACTATGTGCATATTTGACATGGGATTTGTGATGGGAGCCACTGGTGGGGCAGACTGTGCTTAAATCTTCGCGAAAACCTGGTATCATCACTACGTGATGCATTAACACATGCTTATGATCTATTCGGAATCGTACAGTGGAGATTTCTTATGATCACGGACATATATTTTTCGATTCTATTAAAATGATTCTTTAAACTAAAGAAACAATGAAGTGGTGGACTATTTGCTCTTTTCAGCCAGACCATCATTGTTTTATTACTAAAATGGAGAACTATCTGATGGATTGAAGTGAATTTTTGTTCAGATGATCCTGGTCAAAATCAAACTTGACTAAAATCATCCGGATTTCGCCATTGACGGTCTTTGACTACATTTGTTGTCCATTTACAATATATGAAATACCAAACTGTCTTAAAAAAACAAAATCCATTTGAGGAAGTGAATTTATGGATGTCAACTTCTTTATTATGAGGAACACAACGTTTCGGAGTATATGCTTACTCCTTCATCAGGTGAATTCATCCATAAATTCCCTTCCTTATGTGTATCACTTCTGAAGGGCTTTCAAAGACTTAAAATCAATTCAATTTGATCTGAAAATATATTGCCACTTGTCATAAACAACTATTATAAAATCTTGCCAGAAACCAATCTGAATCATTGTGTTTTGGTATTCAAGTGATAATTCTTCTATTCCTAAAAACTAGTACACCCACAGAAACATGGCAAGAGTTAGCATAGATAGAGATTGAAGGTTCCCGTAAGACTGTCTTTACAAAAAAATGACCTCAAGATATGAATCTTGACATAGTTTTGCATAAATGTGTTGGTAAGATTCACTCGCATAGCTTAGCGTCTGTGCTTTAGAAGTATGAAACCGAAATAGACCACACAGGACTACAAGCCAATACAAATAACCTTGTGTATATTGTAACCAATGAAACCACAACCAAAGGGTGATAGATGTTGACTAGACTTCTTCAGTTAATGTACAAAGGATTTTAATTGTTAAGCATGCTGCACAAGACAATTAAAGTAACCATACTTTAGTTTATTTGAGAAAATGTTGAGTTGTTAAATTTCAGCTGCTCCACGTCAAACTCCCGTACTCAGACTTGGGATGGTGATACACATGCCAACACAATACTAGTATTTAATGGTGGTACAGCTTATAATGAGGTAGTCTCATACTGCCCACTGATTCAGTCTCAACTTGTCTTCCTTCAAGATAAGTATTTTGTTTCAGTTGTACTTGGATCGTACGAGAAGGAAATAATACATCATGTTTAAGATGATCAATTTTGCAATGGTTCGTTGGTGTAAATATAGTGATTTGTATCGTTTTTTCAGCTTATTGTAATTTATAATTGTACACATAATTCTTTAGATATGACAATGACTGCAAAAGAAGTATTATTCTATATAAACTTACGCAATGATGCGGCCGTCAAATCGGCCGGTTACATCAGAGATAATTGTTTTGTGATTTAATACCCTCTGATTGACCAATAAAAGTCGAGTTATCACTAAATTCATGGTAGAATGTACTTTAATTTACTTTAAACGTCTTTGCGAAAATTTCAAGGGACGACAATTCCGAGTTGTCACTGCTTTATTGATTTCTTTTCACATTTCCGCGTCAATGAGTGCTATATTAATGCATAACTATCCTTCAATAAGATATGTAGATCGTATTTAATCGTTGCTGTCAAATACTGTTTATCCCATCGAGTTACGTGGTTTGAATTGACATATTCACGACGGACTGACTGCGATTGAAATAACAGCGTAAGTCACAGCCACCATGGAATATACTGACTGATATAATTCAATCTGACTTTGAGAGAATTTACTTCTGAAAACCTACTCTAGATCTGGAACCGTAACCCGATCGGGACCAAACAACTTATTCAGGGTTCACATACGAAATCTATAGACAAATAATAAAATGAAACAATAAAAAAATATTTGCTACAAATAGATTGATTGAAAGGAATGGTATGCAGTGAACACTATAAAGGATACCATTCTTTCCACGATCAAAGGAAATTCACTGGACGATATAATCACAATCAAATAACGAAATAACGACCAGTTGCACTTGTCACAAACACATGCAAAGGCAAGTCAATTGTTTACCTGAAGAAAGCACGGGGACATATGGTTCAAAATAGGGAATTGCATCGGATATCAAATTTTGAAATGTCCTCCAAATGTCTGTTTTAATTAACCCTTTGCTGAGGCATTGACTGTTTTAACCTTGATTAAACAATTTGTGAGCAAGTTTCGTATGTCGCCCTTTGACATATTTGTAGAAGCCCATGCACGATTGTAAGAGTTAAGATATGTAGACAGAAAGGGCTGGAGCTACAGGAATATTGCTCGACATAAAAGAGAAAGTTGACTGTACAAAAGTCATCTTTCTTGTCAAAGTCTTGTTAATATACCCACAGTGGTAGCGAAAATGAAATCGTCCTTCCAATGCTGCCTATATTGTTAATATGTACCTCGTTGATATCTGATCACTGCAAAGTTATTACAGTGTGATCTATCAATGTACTTATTGGTCGTACAAAAACACACACAAAAAAACTTTAAAAGGTGTATTTGCTCACGTTGACAACAGTTAACAAAAGGTATTAACATTGCCTATCAAAAATGTTTTGCATAACTACAGAAGTATTAACAAATATGAAACAAATTTCCACAATGTTCTTAATCTGCAAGAGTATATCTTATGTACTATTGCTTATGACAATATGTGTATATGCAATACCCACAGTTAAACATACACTTTCAACTATGAGTGTAATAGATCTTATAAGCAGAATACATCGTCTAATTCCATTCAAGTTTTACAATTGCTTAATACAAACACACAAACTCCTTATGCTTTGGACACACCATAATGTCATCATAAGAGGTTAAGCTTCGACAGTCATGCGATTGTATGGGATGTTTACAAAGCATGCATTTGCAAAATACAGTTTGGACGAATATAAGAGAATTACAATACATTTTGAGCAAAATGGCTGAGCGATGACATTACCAGGTGTTTCATTATAACTGCCGCTATATTAAAATTGCATTCGAACCCCTTGAGCAACTCCATTGGTTTATTAGAAGAAGATGTTTACAGACGCTAATGACACCTCCGGACGCCGGACAAGTAGGTCCTGGTACAGGTGCACGTGACTTTCTGTCAGGTGAGATAACACTAGATTATTCCAGAGTTCATATTTTTGGTCAAAATCATGACAAAACTACATATTACAACACGATTCCATGTCTCCAGTGCTCCAACTGTGCCACGATCGTGACTTGAAAGTAGGATAGGTTCTGATAAGATTAGAAAGGCATGTATTATATAAGGGATATGCATTTGATTTGAATCATAGAAGATCGACAAAGTTTTTTTAAACGCCAAACTATGCAGGTTTCTCTCTTCCTTGCTGTTGTCTGTGCCACTGTTGGTGAGTACTATCGAGAGTTTACCTCAACAATTAGGCATTGGTATTTCAAATACAAATAATCATTTAACACAAAATATAGTGTTCAAATGTGATGCCTTTGTTTTTGTACGGACTTGTATAATGAACTCTTCTTTTAGCAGCGATTTCTTGTGATTATGGAGGGGCACGGGTGGCATAGTCGTCTAAGGCGCCGCAATTTGTTGTTTAAGGTTCCGTCTATAAAGCATGCCAGAAACCTTTGATTTGGGGTTCGAATCCAGGTTCGGCCCGGTTATGGTTCTAGGTTTGCCAGCTCCGTTGTGATCGTGGGTTTCAAAAACATGCTAAACTTCTGAGACCTGCATCACTTCAAGCTTTCCTTCCACAGTCAGCTGATTCGCCGTGATATAACTGAAATACTGTCACGCCAACTCACTCATCCACTGCAAATTCTTATCTCAATGAAAAAAGAAGTGACATTGCAAGAGATAATTTAGAGCTGATTAAAGATTTCGTCAAATTCTACGGGTGATGAAACATGGGTCTAACACTATGATCCTGACTCAAAAGGTCAATCCATGGATTGGAACCATTCCACTTCTCCGGCACCAAAGAAATTCAAGTCTTCAAGATCAGTGAAGAAAGTTATGGCCACTGTATTCGGGGATGCAAAGGGTGTGGTCCTTGTTGATTAGTAAGAAAGTCAAAAGACTTTTACCGGTGCCTACTATGCTGATTTTCTTCATCCCCTGAGAGATTCTATTAAAGAAAAGGACTGCTAGAGTTCTACTACTTCATGACAATGCCTCTTCTCACACCTTACAAGTAAGCCATGATCTGCAGATTACCCCGTAGAGAGGCTGGAGAGTGTTACCTAGAGAGTTTCTAAATTTATGATTGAATTGAATGATAAAGCAAACTTTGAAAGACGTTTTCACTGTGCACTGTTTTTTTTCCGTCCAGTTGTCATCTACAGCGAAAGCTGCCGGGATGACAGCGATTGTACTCACGTGACATGTGATAGTTCGACAAAGATTGGCTGTTCTCACGGAGAATGTACCTGTCTGTCTTCGGCTACTTCCGGTTCATGCATCCAAGGTAAGAAAAACTTACAATGTGGCATCATTTCTCAAATTGGCTTTGGTGAATGAAGTCTTAAATGGTCTCCGAGAGGGATGTTCTCAAATGTGCCGTCATATATTGTTCACATATAAAGATCACCAAGCCGGACAGATTATGCCGAGAACAATGGGGATCAAGACTATAGTTATTCGCAAACCCATACTGAGTGTAAGTATCTAGAAATACTGTAACTATAACAGAAATAAAGGATAATTTTATTATTTACTTTGTTAATTTCACAACTTGTCACGATTTCTGTGCTAAACTGTGTCCACCACGAGAATTAATGATGAGTTGACATGTGCATTTGCCATTTTGCAATGGCACTTTTTGGGAAAGACAGTATTTATCTAACATTCAAACTTATAACACAAATTGATATCAATTTATGATGAAACAGTTGACAGTTGAACGCAGCTCACTTACTTGTTATTGACAAGGCTTGGCTGTTCGCCAACTTACAATTAAGAGTGGCTCAGACTGTAGCTTTGAAATCACCGAACCGTCAGTTTAAAACCTCCCGACCTACCGGCAATGTGAAAACAACCCCTCCGTGATGCCAAACGTATGGTCAAGTGACATGTCACCATGCACAATGTAGCAAAACGTCTCGAGCATATGTACAACTATCATTAATAAATAAACATATAATTGGAATGAAGGTGCGACTCATTACAACCATCATGTCAATGACTAGTGTTGTCCTTTCTTCTTCTACTGGCACAGAATGACAGTGATGTCACATATTAATGTAGCAATGATGTTAAGTGACGGTAAGCGTTGGCTAAACGGGCACACATATTATGATAGGTAGTGACCTAAATTTGAGAAATATGAATGTTTAATTTGAAAGTATCCTTTGTATTTCATTTTTGTGTTAAAAGTATAAATGTTATTACTTCCTGACAAAATTTTATCATGATATGAAAGTCAGAATTTCCACGTTTTATAGCCACATGCGCCGCCCGTTCCGACTGCGACAGCTGTCATTGTAGAGACAACCGTGACGTACACCACTGCTACGACGGCCACTGTTTGTGTGGACGTGGATCTGGACCCGGCATGTAAGTTACCAGCACAATTCTTCCTTTAAAATAGAAAACAAGATACCAAGTTAATTAATTGTCGTGACTTTAGATGATGATTAACAACCTATCACATCTGTAAGACGTCATACAATTGAGAGATTGTTTGGTAAAACATATTGTATAATTTCGAAGCTTATGTTAATAATTGTACGCTTTTCCTATTGCAGTGGCAAATAAACGTGGACGTATTGGGTCATAAGAGAGAGAGGGAGAGATCATGGATGTCAACTTCTTTATTATGAGTAACACAACGTTTCGGAGTATATGGTTACTCCTTTCTTCAGAAAGTTTACATTTTCTCAATGTCAAACTTCAGCATTGGATCACTCAAATATGTTCCCTCAAATGTGTACAAGAAGTGTAATAAAATGTAATATAGCCACCCCTTATTTTAATTATGCTGAGGCACTCTCTTAGTTCGTGCTATATTCAGGGTAACCGTACCTCCTGATTGACGACGAATTCTAACAGCGAAGAAGTCCTATTTTTTTTAGCACAGCTTAAGTCTCTTGTCGAATGCGAAATGCTTATTTAAGACTTGGGAAACTGTTATATCAGCCGCCGTGATGCAGCTGGAAGATTGCAGGTTGTGGCATGAAGCAATAACGAAAAAAACACACACATTTAAATTTATCTCCAGTCCATGTGGTTTTTTACACTTGATATTACATTCAAATCACTTACAGATGGAAATGTTGAAAACTCAACACAATTCTCGGAATCCATCAGCTCAAATTCGATAAGTTGGCTTTGCAACTCTGATTTGGGAAGATAAAAAGGTCACAACTTTCAATTTTTGAGGCGTATTTCTAGTTTTGGCATACTTCTGCAGCCCAGCTCTTCTACAATAGTCTTTGTCAGGTTGGTCTCGCCCTCAAAAGTCAATTATCGGTTCTTTTCAATTTAAAGACATAAGGAACGAGATCGTGTGGAAACCTAATAAGGGAGATTTACTTTTATATACAAAAAAAGTTAACGGCAGTGAACAACCTGTCTCGATTTGTCGCCATGTAGCATTGAACAATAGCCCAACTGATATATATATATATATATATATATATATGTATATGGAAACCACCGAGTCTTGATCAGACAAATTGTTGATGTATCTTTATATTATGAAACGTAAACGCAAGAAAATATCTAGTCTCGATTACCCAACGGAACATATTCCATGGGGCGTGAAAGGCATCGAGCGGAGAAAATTATAGGAGGTGAAATCAGTAATGACACCAGGTGTTCGTCATTACGAACGTCCCAAACCGTCGGTGTGCAATGATACAATGACACACAATCAACTAAGTCAATGAACCTTACCATCCAACCCATTTAATCGTCTATTACCAAAAACAAAGTTTGTTGGAGACAAATCACAAACTGGTTTTAAAGTCGGACAAAGGTTCCTTATTTATAATGTACTTGGGCATTGGTTCTCATATACTACGTCCTACCCCGGACATTCCTTCAAGTATATATTGCCACTGGGAATATGAGCCCAAGGCAGACTTTGTGTCCATTTACAGCAGCCCTATGAATAAATGTCCGGAGTATATATGCAGTCCGATGTTACTTCTATTTGGCTGGAAGTAGGGGAAGTAGGGGCAGCTAACATCATCCCTCCTCCGCTGGTCCTGAGCCAAAACGTCTCACTATGAAGAGGTAGTGAGTGAGTATGATTTTTACGCCGCTTTTAGCGACAGGCCCGGAATATCACGGTAGGGGACATCAGAAATAGGCTTCACACTTTGTACATTGTGTGGAATGGAACCCGCGGCTTCGGCGTGACGATCGGATGCTTTTACAACACGGCTACCCCACCGTTCCCGATGAAGAGGTAAGAATGGTCAGTATTGTACGAGTAGTCCGAGTTCGAATCCTCTCAGCTATGCAAATTGCTAACCCACCTGACTTACAGTCAAGTGAGCTTATGTAAAGACATGTTTGTCCGTCCGTCATTCGTCGTACAAATCGTCTCCTAAAAAAAACATTGTTTGTTTGTTTGTTTATTTGTTATTTAACGCCGCATTCAATATTCCAGCTGCATGGCGGCGATCTGAAAAATAATCGAGTCTGGACCAAACAATCCAGTGATTGAAATCATGGGCATCGATCCACGCATTTGGGATCGATGACGTGCATCAACCAAGTCAGCGAGCCTGACCACCCGATCCCGTTAGTCGCCTCTTAGGACCCCTGAACCAAAGATTTGTATATTTGTTCCTAGCAATGATGCCACCCTAATTTGCTTTGGATGTTCCAATTGAATTGCCATATTGAGAGACCTATTTATGACCATTACTCTTCCATGCGTGTTACAAATGTGAGATTGGGTACATGTGTAGTAGTAGTTGAACTTAACATATATGTATAATATAATAGAGATGTTTTAAGTGTTGATATGAACTTTATTCTTCGACTATACTGAAAGCTGAATCTTTTTATGGTCAAGATTCTGCACTTAATGTATATAATGTAATGCCATTTTGGTATTTCTTTAGTCAGTTGTGAGATTCAATACCTTTCGTATTGGGGCAATGTGTTTACCTTGTTTTGGCCTAAGGCGTGCTCTTAAATTCTCTCATAATGTATGATAGATTTGTAAACGTCTTCTACCCTCAGACTGCCAGACTGAGAGGGATGAACCTGTGCATTTAGGTTTCTCCTTATAATGACATCATATTTTGTTTAAATCAGGTCATTATGCAAACACTATTTTAATATCAATGCTGACAACTCTTTTTTGTGGGTACATTTAGGTGAGCTACAGTGCCGTGGCACTATTCATTTACTATTTTATGAAAGTGACATAAGAATAATGATGTTCTCCTTATGTAAAAAACGCATCTGATGGAACAATGTTTTTCAATATGTAAAACAGATATGTTTCATTCTGTAGATGTCATATTTCCCTATAGACAGACAGACAGATTTATTCAGTAATCAGGCCTCCATCCCATAATAAATGTTAACATAATGTAGATCATACATGTTTATATACTATGGCGTTATGTTAAGACAAATAGTTTTAGAATACGTTAGAACAGTGATGAGTTACGTATATTCATAACTTTAGATAGAAATAGTCCAATGTGTTTTAAAGTTCTTGTGGAGTTTGTTGACATAAGGTTTAAAAAATGTTAAAATGTGCTGAAGTTGATTTCACTTTCAGCAAAGCATTCTCTTCTTGCAGTTCGGTATCTGTCACAGATTGACAATACATGATACTCATCCTCAATTAGAGTTAAACCTTTGGAGTGGCAATACACGCACACAGGTTCTTCATATGGGGTTTTAGAATGTCTTCCTGTTTAAACTGCAAGTTTAAAGTTGTTACACCTGAACATACCTATTAATCTTTTATAATAAGCAGAGATTTCACATGATAATAAGTATTTTTCTATACATGCAATTAGACGACGGCCGCCTGTTTCACAAGGCGCTTCAAACAACACAACAGGATACATACCAAGAAGCAGACCACTGGAGGAAATCACAAACAGGTGATCAGAGAGCTACATAAATCCTCTCTTGGTAGGTAACATAATAGGTAATATACATATTCAATCGCGTTTAAGGCTTCCCTTTCGTATGCTGAACTATTGAATAAGTCATGACATGATTAAGCCTTATTTGAATATCTGATATATCCTCAAAGGATGAGTATCAAAGGTTATCCAGTAACTTTTCCAAATGAACAAATGCAGCGTGTAATATTGATACGCACTCAATACATTGTGTATGTGTGAGTTAAAAAGTAACGTCGCATCGGCGTTATTTCAGCCATATAGCGCGAGACCAAGTTTAATATAATAACAATTGAGTCATTTATGCAAAGTAATATTCAAAGTAAACAATTCATGAAACATATTTGAGCACACTATATTTAAAAACAATTTATGAAACATATTTGAGTATAAGAATATCATGTATATAGTTTTAAAACATGAGCGATAGGCCACCAGTAACCAAAGCTAGGCCACCTCGATAGGGATCATGGGGACTTACAGTACCTCGGCTTCCTGCATGATACCCAAGCATCACTTTAGCTACTGGTGGTTCTGCCTAATACTAGCCCATATAAAGTAATACTCAGCAATGAGTTGGCTTAAAAATACTGGTTGATGATAGTTACATCTATTATGATAGGATTAAGTGTCACACAGGGGGGACAATATTTATACGCTAGTACGTTAACATCCTGGACAGAGCCTTCAATAATATCAGTTGATAATAGCATCACACCAAATTTAAAAACAAGCATTTAATTATTCACACGCCGGAAAAGAGATCTTTCAGATTTATGCTTTGATAATGTGAATCCATTGCGATTGCAAAGTCCACACAATCAAGCAATATATGCTTGATGGTGAACCTTTCATCACAAGGGATACACTTAGGAGGTTCGTCATCATCTGTCTTAAGCAGATATTCGTGGGTAAACCGACTGTGGCACATGCGACATCGTCGTAAAACGACCTCGTCATGTCTTGACTGACAACCCAGGTAGGTATACACTGTGTATGAAAACTGCCTGCTTGTTTTTAACACATACATTTTTGTAGGCGTACATAATTGCTGACTTTGATTTCATGATATGTCTTTCGTGATAGATTTCATTGGTATGTTATAACGTCAAATAGGAAATAAATACATATGCGCTGTAACCGGATGCTTCATAAAGTTGGCGGACAAGACGGCATTATGAAAATAAAAGCGACAATACCATTCCCATATTTATAAGAATTATCTGCTCAAAACAGTCGATTGTACGATTCTGACTATGTCATGAGCATGTGTTTATGAATCACTATCAAATAGTAATGATGCCGGTCGTTCGGTAAGAGGTGACAGTTGCCTGCTTCACTGGCGGTACGCGTCACAAACACATGTAAAGTCAAGTCAATTGTTCACCTGCAAAGAAACACAGGAACATATGGTTCAAGTCAAAAGAGGAAACTGCATTGGACATCATTTTTGTCACCGATGCGTCAAATTTAGAAATGTTTACCATACAACGTTTTGAAAGCACCAATTGGATTCCTCTTCTTGCTGATCTGTATCTTTATGCATATATATAAGAATTTCTGCTCGGATTGGGATTGTGAGAACAAGGTAATTTGGTCAAGAAGTTTAAGCTTCAAGTATATCGATGATCTGATATCGTCCAGTAAGAATCAAATTGCCAATTCCCTCCCTCTAATTTACCCACCTGAACTAGAAATAAAGAAGACCAGTGAGACCGATCAATCTGTTTCATATTTAAATATATGCGTAAAGATTCGGACAAACAAAACACTCTCCACAAGACTGTATGACAAGAGGGATGACTTCAACTATTCAACAGTCAACTTCCCTTAATGCCGAGCAATATTTCTGCAGCTCCAGCCCTTGGGGTCTAGATTTCTTAACTTTTGAGGTACAATCGAGCATGCTCTTTCTAACAAGATTCAAAGAGCGTCATACAACTCAGAAGTTGTTTGATCAAGGTTATAACATTTAAGGCCCCAGTAAAGCTCTGAAATTTTATTTTTTAAGCATGTGGCGGACATTTCTAAATTTGACCATTCAGTGACAAAAATGATGTGCGATGCGATTCTCTAGTTTGACTTGTACCATATGTTGCAGGTGAACAACTGACCTGCCTTTGCATGTGTTTGTGATGGGTGCCACCAGTGGTGTAGGACACGCTTACCTTTTCGTGAGTAGCTGGTATCACTATTTGATAGGGATTCAAAGACACAGGGTCGTGATATGGTCGGAATCGTACAGTGGACTCTGCTTTCGGTAGAGGTTTCTGATAATAACGTGTATGTTTTTGTCGCTTGTATTAACACCACTTTGAACAGGCTATTGTCCATGACAATCACATAGTTACATTTTACTTCATCATAGTATGCAGATATTTGTACGGAAACAACATTACCTTGTGGCGTTGATGCAAAGCTTCCAGACAATGGTTGAACAGATTGTTCACGTGTAGACCGTCGTAGCGCCCACTGCACAGGGGAACATCTATGAGTCCCAAACAGTCCGAAACAACAGTTTGACAGAGGACACACGTATCAAACAGTTTTCTCCTTGTTATGCATTAGTTGTATCCGAATATACAACAATCAATATTGTTATTATCACCTCGTGTTTCGTTTATATATCCTTTAGGAGTTTAAGCTTGGTACACTTGTCCTTTTGAAGAAAAACAGATGAGAAGATATAAAAGGGTGTGAAGGAGCAGGGACCTTGACCTGATATTAAACGGGAGCACACAGGATCAATAGGCATGTACATGATGGCAAACATGAAAGGAGAGGACATTAAAAAACCCATTATTCTGGTCAAGATTTATGCTGATAATGATAAAATAGTTAAACACAAAACGACTTTCGTAATAAATAATGGATACTACAGTCATATATTATATTTCAATACGTACATGTACATACATGTTCCAAATGCTCTCCGGACGCCGAACAAGCAGGTCCTGGTACAGATGCACGTGACTTTCAGTGAGGTGAGATAACACTAGATTATTCCAGAGTTGATGTTTTGGGTCAACAACATGACACAACTACATATTTCAACACGATTACATGTCTCCACTGCTCCAACTGTGCCAAGATCGTTACTTGAAAGTAGGAAAGGTTCGGATAAGATAAGAAAGGCATGTATGATATGAGACATGTTCACTTGATTGGAAGCATAGAAGATCGACAAAGTTTTCTTAAACTCCCAGCCATGCAGGTTTCTCTCTTCCTTGCTGTTGTCTGTGCCACTGTTGGTGAGTACTATCGAGAGTTTACCTCATCAATTAAGCATTGATATTTCAAATACAAATAATCATTTAACACAAAATATAGTGTTCAAATGTGATGCCTTTGTTTTGTACGGACTTGCATAATGAACTTTTCTTTTAGCAGCGATTTCTTTGATATTCTGGAGGGGCACGGGAGGCACAGTCGTCTAAGGCGCCGCAATTCGTTGTGTAGAGTTCCGTACCTTTGGCATGCCAGAAACCTTTGATTGTGGGTTCGAATCCCAGTTCGCCCCGGTTATGTTTCACCGAAATCGTAAACATTTGAGACCTGCATCACTTTAGGCTTTCCTCCCACATTTAGCTGATTTGGCGTCATATAATTGAAATACTGTCAAGCCAACTCACTCTTTCACTCTAAATTCTGATCTCAATGAAAAATGAACTGATATTGCCAGAAAAAAATTAGTGCTGATTAAGGATCAAATTCAACGGGTGATGAAAAATGGGTCTACCGCTATGATTTTGACTCAAAAGGTCAGTCCATGGATTGGAACCATTCCACTTCTCCGGCACCAAAGAAATTCAAGTCTTCAAGATCAGTGAAGAAAGTTATGGCCACTGTATTCGGGGATGCAAAGGGTGTGATCCTTGTTGATTACTAAGAAAGTCAAAAGTCGTTTACCGGTGCCTACTATGCTGATTTTCTTCATCCCCTGAGAGATTCTATTAAAAAAGGACTGCTAGAATCTACCGCTTCATGACAATGCCTCTTCTCACACCTTACAAGTTTGAAAGGCGTTTTCAATGTGCACTGTTTTTTCCCCCGTCATCTACAGCGAAAGCTGCCGGGATAACAGCGATTGTACTCACGTGACATGTGATAGTTCGACAAAGATTGGCTGCTCTCTCGGAGAATGTACCTGTCTGTCTTCGGCTACTTCCGGTTCATGCATGCAAGGTAAGTAGAATCACCATGTGGCATCATTTCTCAAATTGGCTTTGGTGAATGAAGTCTTAAATGGTCTCCGAGAGGGTTGTTCTCAATTGTGCCTGCAGGTATTGTTCTCATATTAAGATCACCAAGCCAGACTGAGATAATGCCGAGAACAATCGGGATGAAGACTATAGTTATTTGCAGACCCATAGTGAGTGTAAGTATCTAGAAATATTGTAACTGTAACAGAAATAAAGGATCATTTTATTATTTACTTTGTTTATATCACAACTCATCACCATTTCTGTGCTAAACTGTGTCCACTTTTGGAAATAAGAATAAATCATAAGTTGACATGTCCATTTACTTTTTTGTAATGGCACTTTCTTGGAAAGACAGTATTTATCTAACATTCAAACTTATGACACAAATTGATATCAATTTATGAAGAAACAGATGACAGTAGAACGCAGCTCATTTACTTGTTATTGACAAGCCTTGGCTATTCGCCCAAAGTTAAACTCACCAATCAAGAGTGGAACAGACTGTAGCTTTGAAATCACCGAACCGTCAGTTTTAAACCTCCCGGCCTACCGGCAATGTGAAAACAACCCCTACATAATGCCAAATGTATGGTCAAGTGACATGCCACCATGCACAATGTAGCAAAACGTCTCGAGCATATGTACAACTATCATTAATAAATACAAATATAATTAATTGCAGTAAATCTAGTGCACATAAGAATATATGCAAATCTGGTTCTTGTAATGAAGGTGTGACTCATTACAACCATCATGTCCATGACTAGTGTTGTCCTTTCTTCTTCTACTGGCAAAGAATGACAGTGATGTCACATGTTAATGTAGCAATGATGTTAAGTGACGGTTAGCGTTGGCTAAACGGGCACATATATTATGAATGGTAGTGACCTAAATTTGAGAAATATGAATGTTTAATTTGAAAGTATCCTTTGTATTTCTTTTTCTGTTAGTAGTATAAATGTTATTACTTCCTGACAAAATTTTATCATGATATGAAAGTCAGAATTTCCACGTTTCTAGCCACATGCGCCGCCCATTCCGACTGCAACAGCTGCCAATGTAGGGACAGCCGTTACGTACACCGGTGCTACGATGGTCACTGTTTAGGTGGACTTGTTCTTTGACCCGACATGTAAGTTTCCAGCAGAATTCTTCCTTTAAAATTGAAAACAGATACCAAGTTAAATAATTGTCGTAACTTTAGATGATGATTAACAACCTATCACATCTGTTAGACGTCAAACAAGTGAGAGATTGTTTGGTGAAATATATTGTATAATTTCGAAGCTTATGTTAATAATTGTACGTTTTTCTTATTGCAGTGGCAATGTTCTTTCTAATGTGTACAAGAAGTGTAATAAAATATAATAAAGACACCCCCTTATTATTATTCTGATACACTCTCTTAGTTCGTGTGAGCTATATTCAGGGTAACCGTACCTCCTGGTTGAAAACGATTTCCAACAGCGCAGAAGTCTAATTTGTTAAAGCACAGCTTAAGGCTCTTGTCGAATGCGAAATGCTTATTTAAGACTTGGAAAACTGTTATATCAGCCGCCGTGATGCAGCTGGAAGATTGCAGGTTGTGGCATGAAGCAACAACAAAACAAAAAAAACCATTCAAACTTATCTCCAGTCAGTGTGCTTTTTGACACTTAATATTTCCATCCAAATCACTTACAGAAGGAAATGTTGAAAACTCAACACAATTCTCGGAATCCATCAGCTCAAATTCGATCTCAAAAGCTTTACAAGTCTGATTAGGGAAGATAAAAAGGTCACAACTTTCAATTTTTGATGCGTATTTCTAGTTTTGGCATACTTTTGCAGTCCAGCTATTTACATTTTGATGATAGTGATATAAGAATAATTGTTTTCTCCTTATGTAATATGTTTATGCAACATGTAAAACACATATGCTTCATTCTGTATATGTCATATTTCCCTATACATGCAATTAGACGACGGCCGCCTGTTTCACAAGGTGTTTCAAACAATACAACAGGATACATACCAAGAAGCAGACCACTGGAGGAAATCACAAACAGGTGATCAGGAAACTACATTAATCCTCTCTTGGTAGGTAACAGGATAGGAAATAAACTTAATGTTCAATCGCATTATAGGCTCCCTTTCCAAACATTGCATTGACTTATTAATTCGTATGCTGAATTATTGAATAAGAACATGGACATGAGATGACCAAGCCTCATTTGAATAACTGATAGATCCTCAAAGGTTACCCAGTAACAAATGAACAAATGCGTGTAATATTGATACTCACTCATTGTACACTGTGTATGAAAACTACACATAGGTGTACATAAATGCTGACTTTGACTTCATGATATGTCTTTAGTGATATATTTCATTGGTATGTTACAACGTCGAATGGGAAACAAATACATATGCGCTGTAACCGGCTACTACATACAGTGGGCGGAAAGACGGCATTATGAAAATAAAAGCGACAAAAACATTCCTACATGTATATTCATAAGGAATATATGCCAAAAACAGTCGATTGTACGATTCTGGACAATTGGTGTCGACATTTCTTAACTTTTGAGGTATAGTCGCATGGGCATGCTCTTTCTACCAAGATTCAAAGAGCATCATAAGACTCTCACTCAGAAGTTGTTTGATCAAGGTTATAACATCTAAGGTCTCACTTAAAGCTCTAAAAACCTTTTTGTAGGTATGTGGCGGGCATTTTTAAATTTGACCATTCAGTGACAACAATCATGTCCGATGCGATTCCCTAGTTTTACTTGTACCATATGTTGCAGGTGAACAGCTGACCTGCCTTTGCATGTGTTTGTGATGTGTGCCACCAGTGGTGCAGGATACGCTTACCTTTTCGCGAATACCTGGTATCATCACTATTTGATAGGGATTCAAAGACACGGGGTCGTGATGTGGTCGGAATCGTTAAGTGGACTCTGCTTTCAGTAGAGGTTTCTGATAATAATGGGTATATTGTTGTCGCTTGTATTAACACCACTTTGAACAGGCTATTGTACATGACAATCACATAGTTACATTTTGCTTCATCATAGTATGCAGATATTTGTACGGAAACAACATTACCTTGTGACGTTGATGCAAAGCTTCCAGACAATGGTTGAACAGATTGTTCATGTGTAGACCGTCGTAGCGCCCTCTGCACAGGGGAACATCTATGAGACCCCAAACAGTCTGAAACAACAGTTTGACAGAGGACACACGCATCAAACATTTTTCTCCTTTAAAACACTGACACTTGTTATGCATTAGTTGTATCCGAATATACTACAATCTATATTGTTATTATCACCTCGTGTTTCGTTTATATATCCTTTAGGAATTTAAGCTTGATACACGTGTCCTTTTGAAGAAAAACAGATGAGAAGATATAAAAGTGAGTGAGTGAGTGAGTGTGATACAATTTAACGTCGCATCGGCATTATCGCAGCCATATAACGACGAGAACACGTTAATGTATATACAATTTAGTCATTAATGCAAAGTTTTGTATAAAACAAGTTGTAAAACATATTTGAGCATACTATATTTAGAAACAATTTATGAAACATATTTGAGCATAACAATATTATATATACAGTTTTAAAACACGGGCTATAGGCCACCAGTAACCAAAGCTAGGCCACCTCGCTGGGGATCATGGGGACTTACAATACCTCTGCTTCCTGCTTGATACCCCAGCGGGGTTTACGTCATCACTTTAGCCACTGGTGGTTGTGCACAATGCTAGCCAATATTGAAAACCATAGTCTAGTTTGGAGCGTATTAACGATCTGTACAAGTGAAGGAGGGTGGTCTGATCCCCTCCCCACTCGAAATTTGAAACGACTTTTAACAAGTCGAGAGCCTTCAGGCACTTTGCCTTAAGATAGTTAATGTGGGGTAAGAATGCGAGATGACGGTCAAATATGAGGCCAAGGAATTTGGCCTCCTCTACTACCTTGTTAGGAGTACCATCTAAAAATAAATCTAGATCCTTGTGAAGTTTGTATTTACGACAAAAGTGAGCACAGTTTGTTTTGGATTTAGAAACTTTGAAGCCAATTTCGTTTGCCTATTTTTTAATTTGGTTAAGACAGAGCTGTAGCTGTCTTTCTATTGTATTCATATTCTTACCACGACAAGAAATGTTGAAATTGCTGATAATGATAAATTAGTTAAACACAAAAGGACTTACGTAATAAATAATGGATAGTACATTAATCTATTATATGTAAATAAGTCCATATATGCTTCCAAATTTATGGCCCTTTGAGAGCGATTGCACAATCAGTTTGATGTTCTGTTTTATTGAATATCTCACCACAGCGTATGTTACGCTGTAATACAGTAATATCGTAACGCAATGCATATATTTGGAAGATTTAATCATCTTTAATGAACGATTACCTACTTTTATGTCTTGCACGGACATTGATTCCTGACAAATCGGTCATTGTAATTATTGGACAACAAAAACCACCAACATTAGGACATTGATTCCCATAGAAGCTGCCAAGATTCTTCATATTGCCACCAACATTTTGGGCCTATAATCACCGATAACTTCTCTAATGTTGAAAAAAATAACATAAGTCAGTTATGCAAATGTGCTCCAAAATATCCTGAATAGCCTGTTAGCTATTTGGATCACAATACAAAATGAGTGTGGATGCCGTCGAAATGTATGCATGAAATGGATCAACAGAGAAGATGAACCTGTTCAATGGCTTCTGGGCAGGGCTATTTTCAGTCTGTGCGTGATGCTGTCATTAGTATTTTGCACAGACTGAAAAAGAGATAACATTCTTAAAATAAACATACTTGTTATATAAAGTCTGCCTGCCTTGAGTTTAATGTTGTTCCCACTCGGCTCCAAATAACATAACCATTATGGACAAACATCATTACATCAAAGAACTTGGTATAAGTGCTATGTCTAACAATGCCACCATGGACAGTATGTTAACTGCAGAAGAAGTCTGCCAAAACCACGTATAAATGCTATCAGATGTTATCTTCCTTAAGAAACCTGAAGACATGTACTCCCCTCTTTTGACCTGAATTCCAAAACTTTATTACTGGGTGCAACAAATGAACTACCAAATCCCTGTCTCAAAGATTAACCATAATAATAAAGTACCATCCGAGAAACGATTCAAGTCCAGTTATGTCAAAACATTTGTTTAATTAGCCATAATAATAATGTACCATCTCAGAGACTAATCACGTCCAGTTAAATATTGGTCCTCCTCATTGATAACATCAATGTGAAATTTGTGAACTTTAGGCCAGATGTAGGCATCCCCATGGCCATCAGTTGCGCTGCCCTTCTTGCTGATCTGTTTATGTTTGTTGATCTGATATTGTTCCATTGATTTACCCACCTAAATATGAAAAAGATGAGGCGGTTTTACAGGTCTCTGTTATGGCCCAAGATTCATAGTCCTACAACTTTTGTTAAAAAAGAGTTTGATCAAGGGTACAACATTAAATGCCTCAGTAACGTTTTCAGAAAGTGTTATGGTAGACATATAGAGGACATTTCCAAATTTGACGCATCATGACAAAATTATATCGGATGCAATCCCCTGTTTTTAATTGAAAATAATGTTATGATATTCGTATGATTTTCTTGTTTGACTATAGCCTAAACTTTGATCAATTACTTCAGTTACAGCAAGCTGCCCCAGCGTTATCTGGGAGGAAGACTCATAGTGATGCAGGCCTTAGACCTGCAACATTTAAACCCACGAGCACAAGTATTGTGTTGACAAACAAAGAAACATAATAACTGGATTCGAACCGACGATTTCTTGAAAAAGGGATATTGCACTTGGTGCGTCAACTTGTTGAAATTGCCACTTTCATATGTTTTCTCCTGTATAGCAGTATTTAAAAGTGTTTTTTGTACTTATGTACCAAAAAGTTACATGGAGTTTGGAATGTACACAACATACATACGTTAATTACTTATAAGTAATTGCTAATTTGAATTGAATTCAAACTGCTGAAAATTATGGACATTCAAAATCATGTCTGTTTCCTTTCATACCACCAGTAAGCAATGCACCACCATACGCTCAAGTATTTGGTGCGTATCAAATTTTGCGACCAGGTCGTTTTACTTTATTCAGTCGAAGGATCTTGTCAAGCATCAAGGTGGCATTGAAAATTAAAATCAAATATTGTCTCAGCAAATCACGAAGCTATAAATCTATATTTTTCGTTTTGTAAATATGAACTCATTCACACAATTACAAGAGGTCTCGTTTCTGTTAATTTAATACCAACGACGTAATAGAACTTTGATTAACTCGACGGTGGACAGATATTTCTCGCATGCACTTGAAATACCCTCCGCGAACAGAGCTAATTCCGATGTGATGAATGGGAAATATAATGGAAATTGACAACAATACATTGTTTTGTTCTCTGAACTGAGCCAAATCAATGAATACAGAGTGAACCGTTACAAATTTATGTTCCGGGTTGGGATTTGTCATGTCTGGAGTTAATCATCAGATTGTCGGGTCAATGATAACTACGGGGAATTTAAGCTCACGATCGGAAAATGTTCTTCCGGAATTACTGTCCATCAAACTTGACAGCAAATTGAGTTTTGTGCTGAAGGATTACAATGTTTGGATGGGTACTGACAATCTTTTCACTTCAAGGGACACTGGGGAATTGGGTATACATTACCTGACGCTAGTTACAAGAATGCCAACGCATGTTCAGCTTGTAGGAATGAGTAGCAAATAGAAGTAGACCTGTAACAAATCACATTGCCAGTAAACGTGGCAGAGAGTCCCATTGTAATGAACCCTGTATAGTCCTATGGGGAAACGCAAACGAAATAGCATCCTAGTTGTAATGTGAACCAGCTTAGTAGGCACTTGTAGACGAACTCAGAAATAGTAATCATGATTGAACATTATCCTATACATAATACATTGCTTCCTTACCATGGTCGTTAAGGACTGCTTGTAACTCTATTTGACATGTTTGTGTAAATCCCAACTTATGTATAAATGTAGTTATATTCTGTGGCGCGGTGAAGTAACAACTGATGAAAACCTATCATAATTGAATTTTTGTTTTATGCTATTGTGGTTATATGCAAGTTATATTTCTCTTATGTAAATACATTTGTGGAATATTTTATTTCTCATAGCAAATTTCCAAAAAAAAATAGACAAAATCCTTTTTCGTAACCATACGAAATAACTGCTGAATGCAGAGTCGAGCGAACAATTGCACATGAGGATGTGTTTATGCATCACTACCAAAAAGTGATGAAACCAGGTGTTCGCGAAAAGGTTTGGTCAAATGCTGTCATTGGTAAAATAAAAACACGTGAAGTCATCTGGATTTCTCATATTATATTTATTTGAAAATTTAAATGAAAGTTCTTTGGGGATATGCTACGAGTGCAGAGACTTTCAAATAAAAAGCTAAGTTATAGGATTTCGGAACCCATCTTTTTTCTGCTTGAAAGAGAAATGCAATGATGCCAGTAAAGTTCATATTTTCAATTATTTGTTCACTTTTGGGATGAAGCCTCTTATATTGTTTTGCATATCATTTTTAGATTTTAAAGCTATGTAGACCTTCTCTAATTGTAAGTAGAAGTATGTAAGTATATACTCCGAAATGTTGTGTTCCTCATAATAAAGAAGTTGACAACCATAAATTCTCTTCCTTAGGTTTGTGTATGTTGTTCGGGAGTAAAATATCTGCCATATTTTCTACCGTATTACAACAAAATTGATTCTGTTCCCCATACCTTACAGTAATACGAAACGTAGAGTTCTAACATTATCTAAAATA